GTGTGTGTGCGCCTGTAAGCATAAGCAATAATTGTGAACAAATAATTTGACAACAACAATTGCCACAAAGCAGCTTAGAGACATAACAGGCAGACAATTTATGCATTACATGCAGCAGAAAAACAAAAAAAAAAAACGAAAAAAAAGCAACAAAAAAAATTTTAAAAATCTAAAAAAAATATAAACAACAGTAAAATAAAAATCTAAAAAAACAATAAAAAATTAAAAAACAACAAAAACAAAAGTCAACAAACGCCTGCCTAGCTTACACACACATCAGCGCATTCAATTTATGCCGCGCATATGGGCGGCAACACTTCAATGCATGCAACTAATTGATGTTGCAAAGTGCTTTTGCGCTGCTTTTGTTTTATTATTCCATTGTTTTTATGTACTACCGCAGCAGTTTTTTCCGTAATATTTTTTTATATTTTATTTTGCAGTCTTTGGCTGTAGCGCCACTTTTTAGCGGCGTCCTTTCCAGCGCTGCGGCTTGTTGTGGGCGGCGCTTGACTGTTGACTCATGCTACAGCATTTTTTTCTTGCTGTTTTAATTTTTATTGTAAATGTTGCCATGTAACATTATAATTCGCTTGCTTTGGTAAGCAATGCGCGGTTCACTTCTGAGAATTGTCTTTTTTAATTGTTGCTATAATTTGTTGTGGGAGCTGGAGGTGCAGAGGTCGCTGACATTTATTTTACTGATAAATGCAAGTGGAAAAGTCATGAAGTATTAATTGTGGACTCGCACATATACTTATATATACATAACTGCTTTTATATTTTCGAAATTTGATTTATTTTTGCGCAAAAAAGTTTGCTATAAAATTTCGTCAATTCTTAAGATTTCTTAAATTTGATTAACATTTGTGAAAAAGAGCTTATCAGCGCAGAGAAATTTAGTTTTGGAATAGTAACAGAGTGATTACAACTTGTTGTTCACCGACAACTAAGCAAAGAACTAGTAAATTAGTAAAATTAAAATGTGCGCCTAAATTTAGGCAATGTATTTCCTAGTAATAATTGAAGTTTCAGTTATTTTTCAAAGGCTGTAGTATCGAAATCGTCACACTTTATTAATTTTGAGTTCAAACATTTGTGATATTTGATAGTTGTATGAATTATGAAATAATTAAAAGCTCTGAAGAGCTTATTGCAGTAATTGAACATGTTAATACCATATATATACTTCTATTCATACTAATAACATTATCTTGCTATTTAGGACTTTAAACTTGTGAAATAAACTTTTCTTTTAAAGACATAAAACTAATTAACCTACGTTTTATTGCACCTGTGTGCTTAAAGCTTTATAAAAGTTCACTCATAATCGCTTTCGTCAAGTATTAAATTTTTTTATACCTCGATCAAAGTATATAAATTTGTCACGAAGTTTGTAATGACTAAAAGTCGTCGGAGACTATAAAATATATGTATATATTACCCATATCCATCTGTCTATTCGTCTACATATACGCAACAAGTTTTGCGCACATCCCTTTCTCCCCAAGAAGCTGTTCCTTTATTGGAACCATCGATATCGGATCACTATAGCATATACATAGTTGTCATATAAATTAAACGATCAATATCAAGTTCTATTTTTAAAATTTTTTTTTTATTTGGCAAGCCAAAGCAACAGTACAAACTCCGAAAAAATTGTTCAGATCGGCCAATTATAGCATATGGCTGTCTTACAAACTAACCGGCCCAAATCAAGTGCTTGTATGTAGAACTATTTTATTTGACGAGATATCTTCACGGAATTTGGCATTAATTTATGTTCAAAGTAAGGCTATAATCTCCGAATTTATTGTTCTGATCGTACTAATGCTTATAGCTGCCATACAAACTAGCCGACCCAAATAAAGTGCTTGTATGGAAAACTTTTTTTCTCGACAAGATATCTTTACGCAATTTGGCACATATTATTGCCAAGACATCACTGATGTCTGATAATATTAGGTAGGTCGGGCGACTAAGGCATATGGCTGCCATACAAACTGAACGATCAAAATCAATTTTTTGTATGGAAACTTTTTTTGTTAGGGATATATATTATATATAATTAGTTAAGAATTAACTTTTTATTTTGTTTCGTTTTACATTTCTCATAGTATTAAACTTTTATTTAAGTATTTAAGCTTTAATATTTCTTGCAAAAATTTGAAAAAAAAAAAAAACATCTCCCTATTACCACCAAAATCTGCGCAGAGCGTAATTTTAAGTATCCCACATTGCCATAAATTATTCTTACGTAACTAGAATTTGTGCAATTTCCTTGCAACAAAATTAGCTTGTTTTCCTTCCACCAACGCATAACAGTTATTAAAGTTAAGCGCACACCGGCAAATTGAAAGGGCAACGAAAATATAGCGATTCTGCGCCTCTCTGCCTTCGTCTCTCTGCGCTTTCGCAGTAAAATTTTATCTCGCAAAAGTGCGCAACTTTTGCATTTATTTTTGTAATTTTAATTTTTTTCTTCATTTTATTTTTATTTTATTTTTTTAAGACAAAAGTGGCAGCTTGGCGCTCTTACTTGCCTCATTTGCAATTGCCTTTTGCGCTGTGTATGCTGCAAAGCTCTTCAGCTACTTAGCGCATTTAATTCGCCTCTGAACATATGTTTTTGCTTGCACAAGTGAGTGAGTGTGTTGTGATTAAGTGCTATGTGTGTTTGCGTGCGTGTATTAGTGTTGTTCTCTTTTTAGCTTGTTGTGGTTTGTTGCTAGTTTTATATGTGTGTGTTTTTAGTTAGTTGTTGATGTGTGTGTGCGTGTGTGTGATGTCCCTGTGCCATTTGAAGTGCTTGTTACAAAAATTTTGTATTTAGTTGTTGTAGTTGTACTTTAGTGAACGAGGCGTACATTTTAGTAGCAATCCTTTTGCAACAATAAATTGCCGTTTTGTTGCACACATTTTAAAAAGCACGCGTAATTAGCACGAGAAGTGCAGTTATGCATAAAGTGGCTTTTAAAAGCTAAATGCAAAAGTGGAAATTAGAAAAAATATGTAAATTGGAATTTTTATATACATAAAGTTAATTAAAAAGTATAAATTCGTGTGTTTTGAGTTGACTAATAATTTTTATATATCAAACTTTATATCTAAGGATTGTTTCGCTGCTATTATTTTGATCGTATAATAAGTATATACAAATAAAAGATTTTGGCTTGAATACGAGTATGTTTTAAAATCATTTTCAGGTTAAAAAAAACTAAAATTTTTTATGTTTTTCTAACTAAAAAATCCACACTAATTTAACTTTCAACATTTAATTATACAATTTATAAAAGCGCCTAAAAATATACTAAAGTTTTAAATTCGGCTATAACTAGATCTAAAAAACATTTTAACGCGAAATTTACACAAGTGCATTCCCCTATTGAATGCTTTCAAAGCACTCAATGCTCGCTGTGAAATCAGAGCTTTCATGTCATGAAAGCTAAAGAATTTTTATTACATCTTTTGCTATTTGCGCCACTTTTTATGTATAATACTTGTGTCATTTCCTGCTTTGTCAATTCACATTCAAATTCAATATAATTTTTAAATTGAATTTTCGCGCTCTTCAAAAGTCAATCAAAAATGCTAATCGATGAAAGCTGCCGCACTGATGCAGCCTGCAGTGTCAAGAGCTTACATATGTAAATGCAACACACCTTTACGCTGCATAACGGTTTGTAATGCAACGGTAAGCGGAAGAGGTGTGTTGCGCATATCGTCATGCCACACTGGTGACATGGATGATGCAACACTTCCGCTTAAAGTGCTTTTGATAAAGCAGTCAACGCTGCGTAGAGTTGAAAACCAAAAACAAAAAAAAAAATTTAATAAAAGAAATAAAAAAAATGAGAAAACAACAAATGAAATTGAAACATATAGAAAAGCGCCCACATAATGCCGTTTAAGCATTTGAAAACGCGTGCAACATTAAGTGGCACATTTACTGCCATTGCTGGCATGCCTCACATACACTTTGTCACGCACCCGCGGGCAAGCGAAAATTTGTTTAAAGCGATTTACATATAAAAATACTATGCATATAAATCCCTCCACCACACACACACATATACACATATTAGTATGTGCTTGCTGAAAACCGAGGGCCCGCGGCATTTAGCATAGCGTAAAGCGTGCTCATCCAGCAGGACTTACTTCAGCACTAGTACTTATGTGTCGGCACGCTTGAATGCCTGTGGCGAGAAAAGGCAGACAAAGCGCAAAAAATTTCAGATAAAAAAGTTTAGTTTTTGTAAAAAGAAAAAAAAAATTTAAGGAAAATGTGTAAATGTGTATGTATTGTACATATTATATAAGTGAGCGAACTACCTTTATCGAAATACGCAGAGCCGTTCAACCGCCTACCACAATTGGACAATTGGCAGCGGTATCTAGGAGCTTATGAATAAAAAATAAATAATAGAAAATAAACATATGTTGGTGTGTGTGGAAAAACAATGCGAAACAACAAGAAGCTGCCGCTTTTATGCTTCGTTTGAGCACACCGGATACAACAACTCCAAGTTGAAGTGTGCCGTTTTTCCTACATTTTTATTATTTGAATATTGGTTCCACAATGTAAACAAGTATGTGTCTTCAGAAACACATACATATGTAAGCAATTATATGTGTAAGCCAGTTGAGCCGCAGCGCTTTGACGGTACTTCAAATGGTTTTGTTTGCGAACAATTGGCTGGAATACACACAAAGGAAGGTCATACAAGGCATGCGGCACAAAAGGATGATGCGGAAGGCTTTAGTTTTTTTAGTATTTGAAAGAAATAAATGCATGAATGATGAGTTTTCAGTGAGCATGTGCATAACAGTTTGAGGAAAATATAAATTTAAGTTAAAATTTGTAAGCTCCCCTTGCGGTAAGTTAATTATACGTAATAAATCTATGTATAATTTTTATATATATATTTTTTTTTAATATAAAAAATATACTTCTACTACAATTCCATCTTGCTTACGTTCGACTTTATTCCTCTTTGCAGATGTTGAAACACGTACAAATCTCGCCGCTTCGCAATCGTTCCGATTCGGTTTCACTACGTTCGTCTTGCGCTTCATCGATATGTGGCAGCCCGGAGCCGCCAACTGAGCTGCAGCGCACACCCTCACGCGCATCCAGTTATTCAAGCTTGAGTGAACAATTGCCACAGGTGAGTTAAAAGGAAAAATAAAAACTAAAATTAAGAAATGAAATACATTAAATAAATTTAAATTTAAAAAACTTAAATCAAGAATTATATTAAAATAAAATTTAAAATAAAATTAATCAAATAGAATGTATGTTTAAATTTAAATCGAGAATAATATTAAAATAAAATAAAAAAAAAATTAAATTATAATTAAATTAAAATTATAATTAAAAATAAAATAAAAACTGAAATTAAATTTAAATTTAAATTGAAAAAAATTAAAATTAAAATTAAATTAAAGTTAAAACTAAAATTAAAACTAATATTAAAAATGAGATTAAAATATAATTAAAATTACAATTACAATTCAAATAAAAATAAAAATGCAAATTGGAATTAAAATTAAAATTACAGTAAAAATTACAATACAATTAAAATTTTACTAAAATTAGAAAAGTTAAAAAAAAAATTAAATTTAAATTTAAATTGAAATAAACATAAATATAAAATTGAAATTAAAACTGAAATTAAAAAAAACTAACAAAAAAATTCAATTTAAAATTAATGTTAAAACTAATATAAAAACTTAAATTAAATCTAAAATTAAAATTAAAATTAAATCAAAATTACAATTATACTACAATTAAAATTGAAATGAAATAAAAATAAAAATTGAAATTAAAGTGAAAATAAAAATTATAATTTATAATAAAAAAAAAATTATAATTATTGTAATAATAAAATAAAAATTAATATTAAATTTGAATTAAAATTTAAATAGAAATGAAATTAAAATTAACACAAAAAATAAAATTAAAATTAAAATTGAGATTAAAACTAAAATTAAAATCACAATTCAAACTAAATTAATATTATAATAATATTAAAATTGAAATTGACATTAAAATAAAAATAAAATTAAAACTAAAATTAAAATAAAAAGTAAAATTAAAATTAGCAAAAAGATTAAATTTAAATTTACCGTTTTACAATGTAAAAATAAACTAATTTTATATTTCTATTCCAGACGACCATTAAAGTTTTTACGAATTGTCTAAAAATCGATATCGAATATAAAACACTAGGCATACAATGGGACACCACCAGCAAGGAAGTTATAACACAGCTGCTAAGACGGTAAATTTTTCATACGAAATATTAAACCTATCAAAATAAATTAAGATTAACTTTTTTTTAACTTTTCGCAGCTTGAAAATGCGTCATCGCGATCCACGTCTCTTCTATCTGTCTATGGAAGTATCGGTGCGACGTGCTGGTGTGAAGACCATTCTGGTGTTAGACGATGATACACGACCGGCTATACTACAAGCTTGCCACCCGAAGGGCGAGTCGAGGTAAGATGAAATTATGAATATTTTTTTAAAGGATTTTTGTTCTATTTCGGGGCTGCAATTTTAGTTTGGTTATGTTACGCGGCTACCAGTAAAACTTTTACTTAAACGTAATCCTTCTATTTATAGATTCTGCCTTCAATTAAAGCCAGGTGGCTTAATTCGTGTACACACTTCGGCCTTACAACCCTCTTCACAGTATAAATCGTTAGTTATCTCCGAAGAAACAACGTCGGATGAGCTACTACAACTGTTGCTCTCTTGTTACAACTCAATGGAACCTGTGGAACAGTTCTCTATATACGAAGTAAGTAGTACTTTAGGAAGAAAGTGTATTATTAAGGAAGGATCCGAAACTATTTTGTTGTTTGTTGTTGGATTGTTGCTTTTAATATTGAATATTATACTATAATGTTTATTTCTTCTTCAGGTCTGCCCCGGTCAGGAATATCAACGCAAGCTGCATCCCGACGACATACCGTTACGCGCTCAGTCGGAACGCATGCGTCGTGGTGAAACCTGCCATTTTCTGGTACGACGCAATCCGAATTATAATCGTCGCCGCCAATTGCTAGCCACACTCAATGGTCTAACTAGCAATGGCACTAACAATAACAATAGCAAGTCATTTGATGCCAACAGCACCGTTTCATCATTGGAGGATGATACCAGCCTTTTGGATATATCAATAGAGTCCCTAACCGACGATCTACACAGTTTAATGGCTAGCGATGAAGATGAAGATGGCGCCTCATCCACCTCTGGCTCATCGGACACATCCTCTGAAGGTTCAACCGGTATGCGACGCACGCCTTCCACACTCTCCGTCGTACCGTTAAAACCGAAGTTAAAGTCAAAAGCGGTAGTCGCCGCCGTCGATGTGTGTCCGAAGTGTCGCAATACATTTAAATCATGCGAATTTTGTCATAAAAATTCGTCAATGATGTTGCAATTACAGCGTTCGAACAGCACATCGAGTAGCAGTAGTTGCTCGACGACCAAAACTCTACAAATGCATCTGCCCAGCTACAGCCCAGTTTATAATATACGCGAAATACGCACTGTGTCGCATAGTTTCTCCGCGCTCGGCAATGATAAGAAGCTACTGGATATACAGTTGAATGGACGCTTCGATACGAGCGCTTGCACGCGACTACGTCCACAAAGCGTCTGTGTTACGCGCTCCACACGCATGCTGACCGATGGCAATGGCAATAACAATGCGGCGGAAAGCGCACCATCCGCTCAGGCGACGAGTGATTTGAATGGCAATAATGTGTCGGCAGGTGCGTCGTCGATGATGGCGACAGCATCCACAGTTGGTGGTGAGATGGTGAACAACCATCCCGCCAAGGGCTTGGGACATTTCGTTTATCTATAGTTTGCTTATATAGCGTTTAGGGGAAAGGGTGTGGAGAGTTGCATTGTTTATTCTTCACAAAGACTAGTCAACTAAAAGAGAGAGAGGAGTTTCGGAAATCTTTCGCATACAAATTTTTTTCTTAGAGTGCATAAGTCGCTCAATTTCACTAGTGTCGGTGAGGCGTTGATTTAAGCAGTAAATGAGAGCACAGAAGTAATAGAGGACAGATTAAATAAAAAAAGTTTTAAGATTTTTTTTTATTTTTTTGAAATAAAAATGTTTATTTTTTGTTTTTAACTTTTCTTAAATCTTTTTTTATAAATTAAAAATATTATTTTTACTTAATTTTTTTTTTTTCTCACCAAAACTTTAATATTATACTGCCCGAAATGCTTTGAAACAATTAAAATTACAAGGCATAATTCTAAATGTCAGCAATTTAATGTATCTAATGACTCTACTTGAGAATAAAATCGAGCTCATTAAAATATTCAACTAAAATTTTTTTTAAGATTTAACGATTTTTTTTTTTTAATTAAAAATTGTCTTTATTTATGTTTTTAACTTTTCTTAATTTTTTTTTATTCAAAATATAATATTTTGCCAGTTCTCACCAATTTTTTATCTCGCACAGTCCAAAATTTACAGAGCCAGTCGACTGATCAATAAACCAAACGTTTTACAAAATTTTGTAAAAAACCACTTTTTATACAGTGAGAGTTAAATCTAACTCATTAATAATAATAATGTAAATTAATAAATTTCAACAAAAAAAAAACTTACCAAGATATAACGAAAACTTTTATTTAAATTTTTTTTATTTGTTTATAATAAAAGTATTTTATAGATTGTTTTGTTAAATAAAACAATTAACAAAAAAATTTTTTATATTCTCTTTAATAGTTTTTTGTACAAATTAAACTATTTTAGTCAATTCTGACCACACTTCAATCTCGCACAGTCCAAAATTTACAGAGCCAACCATTTGATTATACAACAAAAATGTTGTGTGTCTACATTTTAATGTCTGTCTCTGTAATATTTTGTAAAAACCTTTGTAAATACCTATTTGCTCTTTAACCTATAGTTTTGTTTAAATATATTAGTTATTATTATTAGTTGTACTGAAGTTTGTGTATTTTTTTATTAAGTTTTCAACAGCAAATCGTAGTGAAACCCAACCAAAGAGCATTTTAACACAATTTCAATAGCTTAGTTTATAGTTTATGCTTAGTACTTCAACCTCTATTCTAATTAGTTGAATAATTTTGTAAAAAATATAACGAAATGAAAATAGGAAAATAAGTGCCTACTAAATATAATGACAGCTACGAACTACACTGTAAAAAAATCGATCGTATTGCTTTATTTATTTGCTTTAAATATTTAAATATATGTGTAAATTGTTGTGTGTATTTGTATTTTTACATAAAAACTAGTTTTAGCAAATGAACAATTTGTAAATTTATGACTTTTTGTAAGCAGCAAAACTAATTCCAAATATAGTTTATATGTTGCACAGTGTATGTGGTAAATATTTATGCCTTATACGTGCGGAAGCGGAGTTAAAAATATAAATTTTTTGAAACATTATAAAAATGCCGTGCTTATGCACATTTCATTTAACCAAAATATTATATATGCGTACACAGTAGAGTCTATAGTTATTAGCACAATGCTTAAATAATTCTTAAATAATTACATTTATATGCAAAAAATATGAAATTAAGCTTACAAGCGCTCTCTAGCATAGGAAATAATATCGCAAATTGTATATTTTTATAAATATTTTAATTTATAAACTGTTCTAAATGTCTGTCCCTCAAGTCTCATTAAACACTCGACAACTTGTGCAAGCCAATAATTTAGCTTTTAGGCTGCTAAAGCATTCTTTGTATGTATATTTGTATTTAATACCGTTGTTCACTCAATGTAAAAGCTAATAAAGCTAACACTTTTCTAAATACACAAGCTATATGACACTGAAAATAAAATTCAAATACAAATGTGTTTCATTTCAATTTGCCACGAAGTGGGTTACTGGGGCATGCAACCTGCATTCAATTACATGCAATGTAAAAATCGTCCTTATAAATAATGGGTTTTTGTTTGATAGGCACAAATAAACACTATTTACATTAGTGTGGGTCGCTATTGAGCGATAAAATTAAAAAAATATTTTCGTGAAGACATCTTATCAATTAGAAGTTTTCGATACAGTAACTTGATTTGGGCCGGTCAGTTCCTATGGCAGCTATGTGTTATAGTCCGATCTGAGTAACATGTTCTGAGATTATATCGTAGTCTTGGACAATTATTTGTGCCAAATTTCGTCAATGTATCTCGTCAAATAAAAAAATTTTTATACAAGGACTTGATTTTGATCGTTCCGTTTGTAGGCAGCTATATGTATATAATTAGTCAAATAAAAATTTTGTCCATACAAGGACTAGATTTTGTTTGGTTAGTTTCTATGTCAGCTTTATGCTATAGTAGTGCGATGAGAACAATATGATCGGAGATTCTTGCTTTGTTTTGGATAATATTTAATGCCAAATTTTGTGTAGATATTTTGTCAAATAAAAAAGTTTTCTATATAAGAGCTAATTTTGATCGATCAGTTTCTATGGCAACTACATGATATAGTTCTCCATTATCGACGAACCCGATAAATGAAAAGGCTTTTGAGGACAAAAGGTCGTGTGCGAAATTTTAGATTGATATCTCAAAAACTGAGAGACTAGTTCGCGTATGTACCGACAGAACTTGACCAGATAAAGTATTCTCAATTTACTTGTAACTCAAAACTGAAATTCCTGAACCTCTTTTATGAACGATTTTGCCCACCCTGATGTATTAAGCAATTATTTGCACTTTTTTTATTGGTCAAAATGGGCGAAACGGCATAAAAGTAGCGAAAGTATTGCAAATAAACCAACACTCTAAGCTTTGTCAGAAATATGACTCACATCAAGCGACCGAGAGAGCTTTATAGGCCATGCAAAATTCACTGCCGCCGCAAATAAATTGCTCTGATATGCAAAAAAGCTAAACATACAAACGCAAAGAGTTCGGCATGGGACAATTTGAAAGTGAATGCAGATAGCTGTGCATCTAGGTACAATGTGCCGTTAGTTGATAATGGCAAAATATGGGGTTTTGAACAAAATGGCGGAGAGGAATTTGTTTATTAATATTCTTGAAAAGCTGTGCATGATTGCTCATATTTCGTAAAATATTGATCATGAAATCACTTTACAGCAGATTTAACTATTTCGTCTGCTGAATTTATTTTTTTAATTTTTAAAAATATTCTCAAAATTTTGTCTCGTTATATTATGTCTTATTTATATTTAGCAGATATTAATATTCTACCAAATTTAAGTAAACTTTGAATTTCTTCGGTCCTTTCTGCTATTTTTCAGTTTGCTGTGATCCAGCTCAACATAAGATGAAATCTTATCAATTGCCACGATTCCATCCATTATTGAACTCTGCAAGAATTGCCATCTTATCGACTTTAATTGTTGTACCAGGTAAGTAAATTATAGTTTTTACTTTAATTTAAAGCATTCTGAATCGAGCGATCGTTGCTAGCGATAGGTTTGCATACTCGAAGTCTAGAGTAAGGTTCGTGTCTTGGCTAAGAAAAAATGTAGCATAATTTTAAGAGTGAACAACGATAAGGCCTACGTACTTATGCGTTATGACCAACAGGCAAATTAAGTTGCTGAGTTGGCATTTTGAGACTTTAAACAGTTTGGCTACAATATTTGATCCAATGGATTTATGTCTAGGCTTTCAAAATTCATATTTTATATAAATCTTTCACAGATATTGTTTAAGCACCTTGAAATATAATTTAATCCATATTATAATCATATAAAATACGCGACCTAAAACGATTAAATTACCTTTAAAAGGTGTCGAGACAGGACATCCAAATGAGTGCCAGCTCATTCCCAGCCGCATCTACTGCGCTTACTTATCCTCCTTAGAAATTTAGCTCTTAAACATTTTGGTATGTAAGCAATTCCACAGCTTTTGAAAATAAAACTTGGTACATGTAAAGTTTTTATACAAAATCGATCATATTAACTACAAAATATGTCCTATTGGCATATTTAAGCCGAAAGCTATTACCAAATTCCAACTGCCACCCACTAAATGTTGTCCTTTTTGCCTCAATTTACAAATACATATAAATACACTTGTCAGTATATGTAGACCCAAGTGTATATACAAAAAAACGGTTATTGCCGTATTCATATTCGACTATTTCCCCTGGCATGAAGCCAATATTGCGAGCAGTTAGTTACAATCACCAAAATACATTGTTGACAGTGTTTCCAATGTGACCGTCCAGTTTCGAATAGCTGTAGATTTGTGTGTCTAGTACTGTGCATGTGGTACATATTTTTGCTGATATTCCCTAGGCTACGATTTTTGTACATTTCCACTCACACCTCACTAGCATTTATTTGTTTTACTATGGTACTACTCGGTTATCTGTCTGTCGTTTGTCGAAACAAGCAACTTGTACTTGCTGCTGCCAACAATTCTCACCGTGACAAATTTAGTGAGAAGGATATTAAATGTATAGGTGTATGTAGAACTTTACCTTTACCTGAAAAAATAATAAATCGAATTTCGAATTTGATCAGATATTGAAGCACTTGAAGCTTATATTTTTTATAAATAAAAGGTTTTTTTATACCAGAACCTGATTTAGATCGCTCAGTTTGTATGGCGCGATGGTACGATATCGGCGGTTCTGACAATTGAAACAAATTAACAGCTTCTTGGGAAAAAAAGAACTCATTGAGCTTTTAGAACCGTTGCAGTTGGGAATTTCGCTTGTCGGGAAACCGCAGCTAAGTTAACAGTTTATAGTGGCTAGGTAGAGTAAACACCATTATAATTTGTTATTGCTTAAAAACATTTTTTTTTTTAATCTTTACAAATATTATAGATTCTTTGCAAAAATAAAGGAGAAATAAAAGAAAAGTGTTTTACTTGCTGCGTTGTTGGTTTCAATTCAAAGCACCGTTTATATTTACATACATATATTGTATGCTAGATTATGTTAAGTAAGACGCTTATTTTCAAAATGCCCTCAGTAGCTATTAGTTCATTTATTATAAATATTCTGTAAACTAGTTTTGTCTAATCGACACATAAATATAAGCTGTTGTACATTATTTTTTTTTTATTTAGTTTTCTCCACGGCACCTAAACTTAAATGTAGACCAGAGCTTAGTTGTTGACTAATACCGACCGCGTCATCTTTGTGAAGTACTGGAGATGCGCGTGTGTTCTTCGTCTCAGTCTCTTCTGCTTTCTTTTCTTCCAATGTATTCACTTCAACCTTTTCCACCGCCTGTTCACTCAGCAGCTGGCTCAGTTGTGAATTAATTTCTTGCCACGCAAAGTCTATATCACATTCCTTCGGTTCCATACCACAAACGACAAAACGTAGAAAAGATTTTCCTTGAAATGTCGCTTGTACCATATAGATCTTCTTGCGATCTGTTATACGCTTCAAGAGCTCTGTGGAAAACTCATTGTCGCCCTTCACTCTAAAACAGACCAAACCCATAGCACGTTTGGCTACTAGCTCGAGACGAGGATCGGCTAGCACATACTGCTCGAAGCGCTCGGCCAGACGTATACGATTACGAATATATTCACGTAGACCTTCGGCGCCGTACGTACGAAAGGTTACCCAAACTTTGAGTGCACGAAAGCGACGTCCCAACGGTATTTGCCAATGACGAAATTCTGGTATATCTGTTTGTCCCTCGTATTTATGTTGCAAGTAGATGCGTTCCACAGTGAAACTCTCCACAATTTTATGTGAGTCACGCAACCACATCGCCGAGCAGTCAAAATTTATAGCCATTGACTTGTGTAGATTATAGTTTAACGAATCGACGCGATCGAGTCCCTGCCGCAGATGCGCATACTCATCTAACGCTAAAGCGCAGCCTGCGTAAGCCGCATCTACATGCAACCATATGTTATGCTCCTCACAGACGGTCGCCAGCGACTCGATGTCATCATATGAACAAGTACCTGTGGCGCCCATTGTAGCGATGCAAACTGTAGGTATGAGCCCTTTAGCCAAGTCCTCTTTCACGGCTTGGGCTAATTGTTTGCCGCTAAATACCTGAAACTCATCGGCTGGTACTAGACGTATCGGCAATGTGGCCAAAATGCCAGCTTTTTCTATGCAACTATTACTCTGATCGCTGGAGTAGCCGACAAGGCGAGCACGTATCTCACCCTCACTCAGCTCCGGTTGGGCCGTCTTCACGCGTCGTACCGCTTGTTCACGCGCCGCCATCACAGCGATTAGTACAGCCTCACTAGCTGAACCCTGTATAATTCCGCCACCAGGTCCTTTGGTCGAGTGTAGGAAATGTGCGGGCAACTTGAAGAATTTCGCCAACCAGTCCATAACAACCACTTCCAACTCAGTGCAAGCAGGACTACAGAGCTGTAAATGTGTAGTGAAGTACGAGCAATAAATTTTTTATATCGCTCTCTTGTTATTAGCTCTACTCACCCAATTAAATCCAATCACACTAAATCCAGTGGCTAGCATATCACCCACAATTGATGGGTACGAGCAGCCTGTTGGATAGAATGCATGGAAATTCGGTGATTGCCAGTGCGTGACACCGGGCACGATAAGCTTACTAACATCTTGCAGAATTTCCTGCCATTGTTGGGGATTTTCTGGCAGCTCTTTGGGTAGCTGATTGATCAAATAACCCGGCGTTACGGAAGGTAGAACATCGCTGTGAAAAAAGAAAATGTTTTGCGGGATATTTACTTTGGTTTTTGGGTTATCCAGTGTTGCTTCTTACCAATCACGTATGTTCTCATAATAATCGGCTATAAAATCCACTGCAGCTTTGCCGAATTCTCTAAAGGTTTTTGCGTCCATATTTAATGGCAATATGTTGAACTTTTGATCATATACAATAATTTAAATATTCTGTTAAAAGAAATATGGTAGTGATTTTGAGTATTTTTTCTATATACTTATGTATTTCTAAATATGTATGCCTGAGTATCCTACTTTGCATGGACTGTTTGCTTTACACACAAACGCGCTACAAAAGTCTTAACGTCATATGAATGGTATTAGAAATTAAGTAATATTAGCAGATCATCAACCCAGGTTTATGAATGCCATTAAAATACAATGTTTCGAAATATTTTTCAACCATTATTGTTTCCTAAGATCAGTACTTACTATTGATTTCGAGTTTGCTCGAGTACTGTAAGACATAAAGAGCATCTTTGGATATTATGATTCAAATTAAGATTAAGATGTTACATTAGGTTAACATAAGGTAAGAAGTCTTTCCTAAAAGAAGCTCACTTGGACAGCTTAGGACGCTTGCCCTTTGTGGTACCTTAAACTCCTGATCGTAATAGCCTCATAAACGAAAAAATGCTTTGAGCTTGTCACAAATTTGATAAGGCGGCTAATGTCAATTTCGGCTATGTCTCCAAGCCAAAAGAATCTCGCAGTCGCACAGAATCTGGTCGTCAACCAACACCTGCTAAGCGCAGGCGAGATCCATAGGTCCAGTGCTAGAACGCAAGATGACTACGGAGATCTAACTCCTTATCCTCTAACTTGTGCTATCACCAGGCACCCAAACGAGTGTGATAATGAAGTAACTAGATGCATTTTCTTATGAGGACAGACATTGCTTGACTTTGACTTGAGCGCACAGTTAGCGAGCTCAGCGGTAGTATTGTTGTTCTGCTGTCAAAGTGAATGTTAACCTCTCCTAAAGAAACTATACTTCGGAGTAGTATGTCTTCTTCTACCTTAATAGTAGTCACTTCTGCCAGAAAAAAACTCCTGTGATACGGTAGCCTAAAGCTAAGCTTGACGGAGAGCTCCTTACAGTAAACTTCCCCTCCAACCTCCTCTTCTAGCTTCAATGCATCCATGAAAAAACTCACTGCGCCTCTTTCCCAGCGACTTCACCACGTCCACATATCCCTCGTTAGTATATGTTTGAAAAGGGTGCCGCTAGAAGTAAGCTCCGTGGCGCAGTGGTTCAAGTTTTCATGGATGCCGTTGAAGTAGAAGAGAATTTCAGGGTTTCCTTGTTTGCATCCCTTCATATACACAGCTTCTCTGTGCCTTAGATCGAACTTCGCAGCAATGCACCTGGAGACAATATACACGGGGGTTGCTACCACATACATACTGGATATAATTATACATTTTTAGAAGCTTTTTTTATTTGTACAAGCGTTCGAATTTTCTCTCAATTTTGTCATCAGATAAATTTTCATTTGATCACTTTAAAAATAAGATTTTCAATTATTAACCAAATCACATCGATAAATCGATTATAAATTGTTCCACGAATTACAGTTTTCACTTCAACCGTTAGTGATTCCATTTCATGTTCTGCTTCTAATTTTTTTAAACATCTCCACTATTAATATAATATATTCCTTATATAAAACAGACTTTGTTATAACTTTTTAATTCACTATATTAACGCCCTCATAAACACATATATAACATAATACTCACTATTAATTTCACTCTTTCACTTTTAGACGATTTGTTAAATTTTGAATAGAAATTTTTTCAAAATGAAAGTTTTTGGCAAAACGGTTTGTTGTGGCGCGATGTTTATACTGTGCGCAGTTCATTTGTGTGACAGTCTTTTATACCTTCTGTAGTAAACTGTGTATGCCGTGGAGTATTCATTAAATTTCACCTACAGTGATGGCTAATAAATTCCGCTTGTTAAAAGGGCTAGAAGGAAATAGAGAGAAGAAAAACTGTAGAATAAAATTGTTTTTTATTAATTTTCTTGTACTTTGCACAAAAATTATTATTTTAATGGCTTGTGATAATTGAAAAAAAATATACACGTAAAAGCAAACAACCCAAAAAATTATTGTTATATAATATTTATTCTATTGATATTGTAGTGAGGCAAAAAATATCTTATTAATAATAAAAAGTGCGAACTGTAGTCATTTACATGTCTGATAAGATATTTATGAGGGAAAGTTATTCACACATTGCAATCGAAAAGTAAAAAAAAACGGAATCAAATTTTATTTACTTTAGCTGAAGTAAACCAAGAATACTATATAAAGTCACATTAAACTTTTTTATATACATTTTTTTTTAATTTTTCATAATTTTTACGCTATGAGTTCATCATGCAAATGTATTTTATAGTATTTTCTATGAATAATTTGCATAAATACTGAATATATGTCATCGGAGGGAGGTGATCAAGTATATCAATACGTTTTGCTGAGTTTTTATTGTAGTATAATATTTAAAAAATGTTAGCAGAAACATTCTTTTATTTTAAAACCTCAAAATTTATAACAAAAATTAAAAATTTCTATTTAAAAACATCAAAAGTCTGCATTTATGTTAAAGAAGAAAAAACTCCCTTTAAACAACTATAAATAATTTGTGTCTTTCAATGTTTCGCCACCACTGTGTCCCTTTACCAACTAACTAACGATGATGAGAGCCACTATTGTTATGCAATCTCAATGATGCTGCAAAAGCAGTGAAGAGCGTAAAGCGAACTTAAATGATAGCCAGCACAAGTTTACCCATTAATATATGTCGATATGTATGCATGCATATGTATATATTCAACCTGATCTTCAGGCGCTACCTATTCAACTTTTTTTACAGCTTGCCCCGCAGTGGTAGCTGATTGTCTGCAGACCTTTCATTTATATTTTGAGGTTTTTTTTTTCTGTTTTCGTTGAGCAAATTTGTGTTCCATTCAAAACAATGAATTGTACTTTTCCACTAAGGTGTTAAATATATGCAAATAAGTCTCATCTATACATTAATTTGACCAGGTATTTAGTTGAGTTATGAAAAAATTAAAAAGAAATTAAAATGACAAAACACTATCATGTGCTTTCTTTGTTTACATGGCAACGTGCTTGAATGCTTGTCATCTTATTGGCTTGCCGAACCAGTTTTCGGACATATTTAAACTTGAAGACGAAGATAATGGCAACAGACATTAATGTGTCGCAATAAAAGTGTGAATAGAACAATTTTTTAGTTGATTTTTTGAAGAGGAAATATTTGGTGTATATATTAGGGTGTGTAAAATTTTTCAAAATAACATGATGTTGTGTTTCCTTTAAAGAAAAAATTAGAAGGAAAATTTAATTTCTTATATTTTAAAATTTTGCATTGAAAATGATATGCGTAAGTCGAAATACCTAACAAAAATGTGTGAAATAAAAAATGATTTTAGAGGTTTAGTACCATTTCTTTACATTATGAAACACAGAAAAAATCATTAATATTTGTGCCCTATTAATTCACCTGATTTTGTAGCATTTAAACGTAATTCCCGCCATAAGGTAAATTTTGCCTACTCTCTCAAAAAAGACTGTTCGTTCCTCGCCAAAAATGAACTAAATGGTTTTTTTCAACAAGACTAGTTTAGCACCTTAGATCAGGAGTGCTCACGCCATAGTTAACTTGGCTTCGTTTGACTCCAAAAAACATCTGGCTGGCGCCTACTGACTTGCAGTAGCTCACTAGAAACTAAAGAGATATTAATAAAATTTTTGGTCACCCCTGCCACGATAGAAGTTACAGTCGCAGTAGAAAAATTAGTTGTACGTACTCAAATTACCTCCTAGATCTGGTAAATTAGACCTAGTGGCAGTCCAGTTTCTTACTGTTCTTTTTTTTACATGAACTTCGGAAAGCAACTATTACGAATAATTTGCATGTCAGCCTCATAATTTTCGATAACGTTGCATTCATCTTCAGTTTTAGTACAGTGCAGACCAGTAAATAAATCCATTGCAAACCACATAAGAAAGTAACTTTTCTTGGATGCAAGATAGGTCTTCAGGAGAATTTTAAGTTTATTATTTTTATTTTTTGACCCTTTTATCCGTAATTCTGTTACATCGTTGAGATAACGTAGTAATATTTTAAAATATTATAAACAACATTGTAAAATACATCAGTTTTGTTTGACAGTGGGTTTCACAGCTACCCCTCCAGGAAATCCAATAACTTCAAAAAAACTTACCAATATTTTTAAACTCTAAATTTTTCAGTTTGTTACACCCAACAGGAAACGTCGGAGACCCTATAAAGTATATATACAAATAATGAACGTGATGAGCTGAGTCGATTTAGCCATGTCCATGTCCAAGTTCGTTGTACTTATATACGCGAACTAGTCCCTCAGTTTTGAGATATCGAACTTTAATTTCTGGCTCGTCCTTTTTTCTTCAAGAAGCTGCTCATTTGTCGGAAACGCCGATATTGAACCACTATAGCAAATAGCTGCCATACAAACTGAACGTATAAAATCAAGTCCTTGTATCAAGAACTTTTTTATTTGACGAAATGTCTTCACGAAATTTGGTATAGAATATTTTTCCAGGCAGTGCTAAAATCTTCGAATATATAATATTATTAAGATCGGATCGTTATAACATACAGCAGCCATACAAACTGACTAATTAAAATCAAGACCACTTTCTTTTTATGCCTTTTTATATTCGAATTCATTTTCGTCACATAATTGAAAGCCAAACCTTCGCTATTAAAGCTATGCTTTAGCTCTCCTCTCATTGCATTTATCCAAAACAAGCAAATATTTTCAACACTTCCGATCTTGTTAATTTTAATTAAAGCTTAAGTTGTCACAAGTTATTTAAGATGTTCCCAACTTAACCACATGAATTTCGTTTCCAAAATTGTACCAAGCAACAACGCACATACATGCGCCCTTTAAGCCTTTATTGCCATAATCTGCTTGAAAACTCTTGTAACCTCACTTTGTAGCTGATTAGTTGGGCATTCTAAATAATTCAATTAACGCTTTAACCCCAAACTAGTTCCACATCGTCGCACACAATCGAATAAACGAGGCACACGTACACACACATACTGAGCACAGCTCATCCGCATGCATGCCTGCAGTCTCGTGAGAATTTCGTGAATATATCACGCCATGCCGTCGGCTGCCAACGCAGGTGTTCAGCTGCACAATGCGGCATTTGCTGGCTGTGAACTTAACACCTACCAGATATAAAACTTTGCCCCAAATATTAAATATGCATATGTATTGGTGTATAATCCTGTGCTGCTCTGGCACTTCGTTGGTTCGAACAATTTTGCCGTAACTTTTCTGACAGCCAAACAAAGAAACTGAAAAAAAAATTAAAGAAATTGTCGTCTTAGAAAGCAGAAAGCCGGAGAACAGCTGCAGCTGCCACATTTGCGATTTTGCGAATTTTTCGGTATCTGTGCTGGTGGTGAGTGTAATTTTTGGCGGCAGGCCAAAAGCGCACATGCCCACATACACACTAACTATAACGTTATTTATTAAATTATTTAAAAATAAATTTTAAGCCACTTAAGTTATTATGCAGGCAAATGTTAGAGTAAATGTTAGAGCAAATGCTGCTGCAAGCGTTGACGCAAACTTCGTGGCAGTGCCACTTAAATGCGCGTTCAAGCTTGCAATGGACACTAAAACTAATCGTAATGGTCTGCAGACATACTTTGATATATATATAATATTCTTTATATATTAACCGTAACAAAACTGCCAGCAGCAACTTGCCGCACAGCTCCTAACTCCCAAATGCGCCATAAAATATGCTTTGCGTCAGCGCAACGCTATCTATTGTCTGCTCAATGTAGGGTATCTTCGATGCTTGCCTCCTTTTCTACGCTCTGTCCATTTGCCTGTCTGCCATGTGGCCACGTGTTCCCAACAAGCGGCAATGAAACGTAACGGCGTCAATTGTCTATGTATGTGGTATTAAAATTTCATTGGCTTTGCATACGTTAAGGCGTTGGCGCGCGCCAATTTATAGCAGCCATTGCTTCATTGTTTCAAAATTGATGCATACTCAGAGGCGTTCGAACGGTTGTAAATTTAATTTGCATTTATGTTGACGTTATTGAAATCATTTAAATGATAATAAAATTTAAGTGGCAATTTAATGCTGACGTTCGTATTTCTTTGTCGAGGGAGTCGATTAGTGCCTGTGCTGGAAATGCTTTGCATTGTGTTTGATGTTTGAAGTTGCATGTTCATGCATTAAACATGTTATTGAAAATAATGTTACATTTAATTAGGCAAATTAACTGCTTTTAGTTTTATAATACGAATTAAAGTGAAATTTTTACTGAGCAATTAGTTCTTTATTTCTTAAATATTTTCTATTTCATTTGTTTTTCTCACCATTCACTGCCAATTTTTCTGAGAAAAATATTTTTTATTCAAAACGGACTTTCACTAAATTATAAATTTTTCCTAAACTTTGATGTAAAAACTGCTTTAATTAACTTATGTATGTATGTATGTATTAGGGCGGGTCAAAATAAATTTATGTTTCATTTCACTTGGTACTCTGAAAAATTGGTTGATAAACACCACTAAGAAAGTCACTTCAATTATGAGCTCTGAATTGTAACGGGAAGGTCCTTCGCTTTACAGCACCCTTTTCTTTTCTTATTATCAGATAGAAAATTAATATCTCGCTGCCAACTTCTTAAAAAAATATCTCATTTCATAGATTTTATACAGGTTAGGTTAACAGGTAGTTTTTAGGCCTACTGGTCCTTTGTAATGACAGATGGGGGTTCAGTTTAATTTGAGATTGAAATGATTGTCATACAGTATGTTAACGCGTTG